ATGGTTTTTACGCTAGCAACAGGCAACGGGGCCCATGTTATCTGTGGTGTCAGGCTCGTGGTCATGATAATGCCTTGGAAAATAACTCTAGTGCTACCTTGCGTTCCAGTTTTATAAGTATTAAATATCGGTTTGCGCAAAAATGAAGGAAATGAGAGGACAAAGATCTACCCGCCCAAAAATGAGAATCTGAAACCGACAATTCGGCCAAGATCCGTGCCTCCTCTCGAGAGTTGACCTCCTGTGGTAAATATTGGTGATTCAGTCGAATCTGTAGAATAAAATAAGTCACTTGCAGAAGTTGGTTCATTTTCATTTTGTAAACAGAGTGTAATGCACGATGGTATGCTTCCTTGGTGTAAGTCTAACTTTTATCCAACTGATTCTTAGAGAGACAACAGACTTACTTAGAACTGCAGCAGCCTTCATGTGTAGGGGAATTACGCGGATGGGCAGTTTGATGAGTTTAGGTGGCGCTAGCTGTTCCCACGCATACGACTCCAACACAGCAATCACAAAATGAGTACCCTCTGTCACAAATGCTCCAGCGAATTCCACATCATTTTCATTGGAAAAATCAAGCTGAATCTATAGGGTAAATAGTGGGCCCTTAGCATGCTCTCGCACAGGGTCATTCGGCATCATATTCCATTTCCTCTTGAAACTGATCTCCGTGAACGATCGCACGATTTCGATATGATTACCATGAGCTAAGTCAAATTTAAACCTCCGTTAATGATTTAGAAATATTTCTGCTAATTTTGGGACATTGTATGACCTATTATAATGGATGTCTTGAGAGATTTTATGTAAAACAAAAGTGTCGCATTAAACATACCGCTGCCTCCAGTTTCGGTGTGCCCGTGTTTACACACCTTAAGGTGTCGCCCGTTGTCACCTCTATTACGTCGTCATGTAACATATCCCATCCTGGGTTGATTTCAAATCGTGCAACACCCGGACGAGTGCTAATAAAGTCCTTCGTCTGTAGAGCAGGCAGAAAATAATAATATTGATGGTTACATTTCTTTATAATAGAACTAACACAATCGTAATGCATTATGCAATTGGAGATTCTAGAGCAGGTCGGTATTTGGCAAGTGGATATGCAGGCTTGTAAAGCCCCACTTACGTGAAGCGAGACCACCTGAGCT